GCAGCGCCGAGCCTGCCGAACCCGTCACGTTCGGCCAGGCCAGATAGTGGGGTTCATAGCTGCAGTGGAGCCGGGGCTGCTCTGCCACCTGAGTCATCTCCGGGCGTGTGGGGAGGGCGGCGAGCTGCCTTCTCCTCCTGGAGCAGGAGCTGCACCGCGCCGGCTGGCCTGGCCTCTTGGAAAGCGCTGCTGCTGGGCCTCCTGCAGTCCTGAAGCCGCACTTTGCTCCATCATCGTGCTGTCTCTTACCAAGAACCCCCCCCCCATTTCAGTAGAGGAATATCTGAGTCCATTTTTATTACCCTGGTGAGTCAGGCAGGGAATTTCTATTCCTTTCCCTGCAAAAGGTAGCTGTCAGCTTGGAGTCCACGTGCAAGGTTCAGGCATAGACGCCAATCCTCCCGTAGGGTATTTGGTCTCCATTGGTACAGGGGAACTAATTTTTTTATTTTTTTTTTTGTCTAGAACCAGAGTGTGAGCCTGCTACCCAGTATTTCAGATCGGTTTGCTGTCTCTCTGTTTTGTAACGTGTGTGGCGTTGGATTTGTCTTGCCTCTTAATGTCTTCGCTTTGGTTGTAGGTTATCTCAAAGTTTTTGCGAAGCTTCGTGTGTCGTGCGGATCAAATTAAAGCTAAGGTGGAGAAGAGAATTGAAGAGAGCCTGAAGGCTCGCGTGTGCTCGTGGACTAGGTAGAGCTTGCGAGGGGAGGGTTTTGAGTATAATTTCAGCGTACTGAAGTTTCCAGCTGAGCGCCCGGTAGCGCGTTACATAAGGAAGTTGTGCTCCAGCTGAGCGTCGCTTGTCTGCGCCGTTCTGCCGCTCACTTCGGTGGCGCTCAGTACGGCGCGGAGGCCGTTCCGCAGCGCGTCGGTGGGCTCCCCGGCGCTCCCAAAGGGCGCTTGCTCCCCGGGAGCGGGCGGTGTGCCTGCTGTGGGGACAGACCTCGGAGGCACGGCGGTGAATGCTGAGCAGGGTGAACGTGGCTGCTGGGAGCGAGGGGGCGGCGGGGGCAGCGCAGGGCTTTTGTGGGGAGGGTGTAGCTTCTGTCGGGAAGCGGGGAAAGCTGCTTTGTTGTAGGTCAGCGCGTGCTGAGGTTTGGGATTCAACGCGCTCTCAGAGCGCTTTGGCTTCTAGTCTGGGTTTTTTTTTTAACAGGAGAGGAGCTGAATGTGTCGAGTCTTTGTTAATGTTGGGTGCTCATGGACTGATTCTTCGTGCTGCTTTTCGAAGATCTGAGGGATAATGGGGACTGTGGAAGGTTACAAGAGTCCTCAAAGCCGTGGGAAGTAGCATTGCCAAAGCGGTGCTGCTCTACGCTGAGCTCTGCAAAGTACCAAGTGACTCTGTGGAGTAAGAGCGGCGGCTGCAGAGGGGAAGGGAGACGATAGGGCTGTAGGCAACACTTCCAACAGAAACCAAGTATGAGAAGGGAAATAAACCCTCTCTTTTTAGCAGTCCAGGTGCTTTAAAAGTTAGATGGGAGTTAAGCTGCAGACTGGGAAGGAGCACTCTTAATTTGAGTTGCTGTGGTTGTCTGGCTCAACTACTTAAGTAATAATCACTGGTTGTTTACACGCCAGCTATCTTAAACGCCACAGAGAGTGTTCGTATCATCATCTTGGTTTTGTGCCGGTCTCTGGGAAAAGCAGCGATATCTTAGGCATGGCGACCGTCCCTGTCAGGATAGCGAGGGGAACAAACAGCGAAGCTCCCGACCTTTGCTGTTGCACCTTGTGGCAAGAACAAAAGCCTGCAGGATGTGGATTAAGTCGAAATAATCCCAGCAGACTCGAGTACAAAGAAGCGATGGAAAGGAAAGCTGCTGCTTGGGCATTTATTTTTTTTTTTTAGAGGGTATTATCAGTCTTGATGGATCAGTGTTCAGGTCTCAATCCTGCCACTTGGCTCGTGGTGCTTGGCAGTTTGGGTTTTATGCTTGACCACGGGCTATGAGGTTTTCTCCCAAGTTCCTGTGTCTTTGGGTAGCGTAGGGATGAGAACTGCAGAAACGGGCAGCAAATCCCAAGCGTAAACCTCAGGGAGTGTCAGCGGCGTTACCTGAGATGGCCTCTTGCATGTTGAACTCCTCGGGGCTGGCAGAGGGGAGGAACAAGAAGCTGTTTGCAGCCGGGTAAGGAGCGGTGTTGCTGGCGTGGCCCACCCCAGCGGGTCTCCGGCGGCACGGTTGTTCTCGGGGTTGTCCAGAGACTGGCGCCGGGGTAATGTGGCTGCGCGAAGCAGCAGCAGCTGCTCCGAGAGGGCTCCGGTTTGAGACCTGCTGTCCGACCGCCACTTGTATTATTCACTATTCACTGCGGTGCTCTTTGCTCTTGCTTAGGTGCTTACTGGGATGCCCATCTGAAACCTGGAACTATTTTTTTGGGTTTTTTTTTTTTCTTGTGAGAAATGTTTGGGATGTAAGTGATGATGTCAGCCAGAGTCCCAGTGAAGTGTGGGGATAACAATGAAACGTAACGATTTCGCTGTTATTTTTAGATCTAGATCAGTGATATTTTTATCATAGGTTTTTTTTATCATGGTTTTACTTTACAAGAAATGCAAGGTGAAGATATCCCGAGGTAGGATGGGAGTGACACTGAAGGGCCATAACGAACAGCTTTCGTTTTAAGATTTAAGCCAAAGCGCTTTGGATTCAGCTGCATCCCCATCTGTGTTGCTTATCCTTAGGAGATACGTTACCTGTGACTGCGTAGCTAACTAGGGCACCTTTGGAGTTGCTTTGGATGGGAGAGCAAGTAAAAGGTTAGCTCCTTGTCTTCTCTGGGTTTTGCCGTACAAACTGCTTGACGGACCCAGCAGTGAGGGGGAAGGGGAAATGGGAAGCTGTGTACTTCAGCCCTGCTGCAGCACAACACTTCCCAATGGCAGAGGAGCCGTGGCTTGTTACCTGTTTTCTGGGCCTCTCCATCAGAAGCCGCGCTGCTTTGCAGGGTTAAGCTCTATTCCAGTGATGTCCTTGTTCTGCTGTGGAAGACGATGGGTTTGCCCCTAATCC